CAACCAACCAACAGACTAACTAATCAAACAACCAACCAGCCTAGTGTGTTGTAAAGGGAGTTGTGTGTTGTGGTGTGTTGTGAAGAGAGGAGAGTTGTGTGTTGCGGTGTGTTGTGATGAGAGAAGAGTTGTGTGTTGCGGTGTGTTGTGAGGAGAGGAGAGTTGTGTGTTATGGTGTGTTGTGAAGAGAGGAGAGTTGTGTCTTGCGGTGTGTTGTGATGAGAGAAGGGTTGTGTGTTGCAATTATTAATATTACATACAAAAGACACCTGAAATTATTTACAAAAGATATACACAATGTTGGAAAACAATACATCTAATATAACATAATATACAAAAGACACATATAAAATTATTTACAAAAGATATACACAAAGTTAGAAACCAAAATACATCTAATATTACATAATATACAAAAGACACATATAAAATTATTTACAAAAGATATACACAATGTTGGAAAACAATACATCTAATATAATATAACATACAATATACACATGTAAAATTATTTATAAAAGATATACACAATCTTAGAAAACAAAATACATCTAATATAGCATAATATACAAAAGAAACATATAAAATTATTTACAAATGATATACACAAAGATAAAAAAACAAAATACATCTAATATAACATAATATACAAAAGAAACATATAAAATAACTTACAAAAGATATACACAATGTAGGAAAACAATAATCTAATATAACATATTATACAAAAGACATCCAACAAACCAACCAACAACATACCAACCAACCAAAAAACAAACCAAAAAAACAAACAAACAAACAAACAACCAACAAACCATCCAACAAACAAAAAAAAACCCAACAACAAACCAACAAACCAAACAACAGCAAACCAAAAAATAACCAACCAACAAACAAAGAAACCACCCAAAAAAAACAAACAGGGCAAAAATCGAACCAACCAAGAAACCAAAAAACAACAAACCAACCAGCAAACCAAGAAACAAACCAAGCAACGCACAAACCAACCACCCAACAAACCAAGAAACCAACAAACATCAAACCAACCAGCCAACGGCCCAAGAAACCAACCAATAACCAACCAACTAACCAACCAACCAACCAACCAACCAACAAACAAACAAACCAAGCCAACAAACCAACCAACAAACAAACATAAAAACAAACCACCCAACTAACCAAAAAAACAATCCAAGCAACGGACTAACCAACAAACCAACAAATAAGAAACCAATCAACAAACCAACCAACCAACAACCAACCAACAAACAAACCAGTCGGTGTGATAAACTAAACTTAAATATAATACATTTCTCATTCTTTTACAAATGTACACAAGATATAAATAATTTTGAAAAAAATACATCTTATATAACAATTATCAATATTACATACAAAAGACACCTAAGATTATTTGCAAAAGATTACACAATGTTGGAAAACAATACATCTAATATGATATAACATACAATATACACATGTAAAATTATTTATAAAAGATATACACAATGTTAGAAAACAAAATACATCTCATATAACATAATATACAAAAGATACATATAAAATTATTTACAAATGATATACATAAAGATAGAAAACAAAATACATCTAATATAACATAATATACAAAAGAAACATATAAAATAACTTACAAAATATATACATAATGTAGGAAAACAATAATCTAATATAACATAATATACAAAAGGAATCCAACAAACCAACAACAAACCAACCAACCAACCAACCAACAAACCAAGCCAAGAAACCAACAAACAAACAACCAACAAACCATCCAACAAACCAAAAAAC